GCATTTTAAATGGGCACTGTTCTAGTTTGCAATGACCTCCCCGCCACTGCCTACTTTTGCATTTCATTTGATTGCGCTGGGTGTGACGGTGTTTTACGGCAGCTTCCAGAGAGCTTTGGCTACCGGGCAGCTTAAAAATAAAATAAAAGTAAAACATCCCGTGTTATTAAACGAAAATGATATATAAATAAAAAAAACCGAACTAAACTTCGGGGCTCCAAGTCCTAATGTGGTTTCCTGGCTGGTGGCTGGAGATACGTGGTGCCAACCCAGCTGCTGGAGTTTATGAGCCGTGGTTTATGGTTTAGCACAGGGACAAACCAACCAGTGTTTTTCAAACTTGGCAACTCTGAGATGCATGCCAAGGTTGAAAAACACTGAAGCAAACCGTGACTCAGGGCCACACGCGCACCAAAAGGGTTGCATTTTGAAGAAACCACTCCCGAGAGATGAGCCGTGCAGCATCTTTGCACGGGGAAGAAAGTGGTTTTATTTTATTTGGAACCACGCTTACCTGCGACCTTATTTTCAAGGCTGGGCCGAGCTTGAGGCCCATGTGATTCAGTAAATGCTCTTCCGTCAAGAGGGGCAACGTCTCGCCGTCAATGGCCTGTTCCCGGAAGACCTGTCGAGGGAGAAGCAAAATTGGGGTGTGCCGAGAAGCCACACGGGGCTGGAGCTTCTTTAGAAAGGAACGGCCACGCAGTTCGGTTTTCTTTTCTAGCGCTGAAAATGCAGCATTGCTCTAGACACCCCAGAGAGTTGCAATGGTGAGGTGGGCATCCATAAATCCATGTTTTTCAACCTTGGCCGCTTTTAAGAGGGGTGGACTTCAACTCCCAGAATTCTTAAAAGCGGCCAAGGTTGAAAAACACCGCTCTAGACGAACGGCACGCTCCCATTTAAGACACACAGCAGCCGCCGACCTCCCCACGACTACGAAGCTCACCTTTCCAACCCCAGAATTGCATGCTTGCTAAATGCAGATGGAGTAACAGACGGTCTGTATTTAATAACAGGTTAAAAGCCTGAGTTCCTTCTGTATTAATACTTTACAGGTCTCTCTCTCGTTTCTTCAAATGTCCCCCCGTTGCTATTTCGTACATTCTTTTTCAATTATCCCAGCCGTGCTCTATTTTGGGCTGTGTCGCGTCACATCTTCGCGTGGTTATACCTAACCGATAAAAGGTGTCAACGCTAAAAAAGAAGGTGGGCTATTTCAGGCTGGAGAGACAGGGTCCATTTTTTAGAAGACAGATCTGCAAAGGGAAAACCCTGCGACCCGGCGTTTCTAGCCCCAGGACTCTTCCTGGGGGGCTGGCTTTCCTTCTGCAAGCAGGAGAACGGAGGCGATTGATCCGAAGCAGCTTCCAAATTGCCAGATTTTTTAAAAAAGGAAAAAGGGTTTTCTTCCTTCCAAGCAACCCTCCTACACGACTGTTCCGCAGCCCTGCAGGACGGTGCAAGCAGGATCTTCCTCCTCCCGGTCTGGCTGAAAAATGCCAGGGACCTTCTCCTTTCTCTGCCACTGGGCAGGGGACCCACGGAGGGCAGAGGGAGCCCGGTCTGGAAGGCAGAAAGGCTTTCTCTCCCACCTCCCTTCTCCCCCGCAAAACCCTCTGCCACGGTTTTAGTTCGCATTTTGCCAGCCAAAGTGGAGGTCACTCTGTGCCAGACCTCCCCAGCAGCTGCGGTTTCGGGAGGCTGAGAAAGCAGGCAGACACCGCTGCCGCCCGGATCTCCCCCGTGGGCCTTGGCTTCCTCCCACAGTCAAAAAAGAAAAGAACGGCTAACAGGATGCAAAGCCTGGTGCGGAGGCAAAAAAGGACTTAATCTTCTTTAACTCGCTCTCTGCCAGATCCACGCCGCTGCCACCGTTCTCAATCTTCCCGCACGCTGGATGGACCCTTGTTTGCCAGGGCTGGTGTTTCCACTGCTTTTCTTTCCCTGCAACCCAGAGATCTGGGGCGGCTGGCTGGGGGGCCACAGCAAAAGTCAGGTCTCCCCCCCACCCCTCCATCTGCCCAGCCTGCAACTCTGCACGGGTAAAACGCCGTGCGCTCCCTCGGCTGAAACGTGCTGCCCCGATTGGATACGGCGAACCCTCTGCATTGAGTTGTTCTGAATGCAATGGGATTTACTCCTGAGTAAACACCCAAGAGGCTTGTGCTTAAAGGACTCGGCTGGACCCTCATTCTGAATCTGCAAAATGAGCTTTTCTTTGGAAAAGCAAAACAGAAAGTCCAGATGCCCATCTCCCGGGGGCAAAATTGAGATGGGAAGCGATCCGAGAGATCCCTGTGCCACTCCATCGCGCTGTACAAGACTGGCGCGAATCCGACAAAATACCCCGAGAATCCTTGATTTGGTTCCTACAATCCGAAGATTCAAATCGATTCCCAACAGGGATCCGGTTCAGAGGGGAGAAGCGAATTCTCCGGCGGGGTGGATTCAGAATTCCAATTTGCAAATAAGCCAATTTTGCCCAAAGGATTAAGACTCAGTTTGAAAACCCAAAGCAACTGTCCCATTTAGTTCTGAGAAGCTGACCGGATGCTAAATAAGAGAGTATTTGTACAATCTTAACGTGGCCTTGTGCTAATAAGTCAAGGAACATCTGCAGTGAGAAGGAACCGAAACAGATCAACTTTTCCTGATCAATTCAACTCAGGTAGCATTAAATAAACTCAAGTCTCCCTGCCTTTCACTACACTATCAGCACTATTTGGCCATTCAAAACCACGTAGCCAACAGCTGCCAGTTCTCTTAAGGCCTGGTCTACCTTGCAGGGGTGTTAAGGAGGCCAAGTGGAAAACAAGCAACCGTAAATTATCTTCTGCGTTTCCAACTATTGCCAGAAGCAACAGAGATTCTTAAAGATGGTTTTAATGGACAGGGAGCTTATTAGCCCCGGACACCATCACTCCTCATCCCAGAGAAGATGATGCTGCGATAAAAGAGAGGGGGGTGTTGTTCAGTTGGGGTCATCTGCTAAGATGGGCCTTCAGGACAGACATTATTGCCCTACACCCCAATGCAGACTAGCTGGCAATTCACACTGCTCTTCAATTATACTTGGTGGGAGAAGTCAGCCTCTGCCTCGGTTCAGGTTCTAAGCCCTGGCTCACAAACCACGATTGCTGGCTTGCAGCCTCGCCCTAAGCCCAAAACAAGCCTCATTACGTCCTCCCGCCACGTGCGAATCCAGAGCTTCCGGCGGGCAGAGCTTAGGGGTGTGTTGGCAACCCTTAGAAAAGAACCGAAAACGGGCACTCAGATTGCGGCTGAGAGCGGACGCCGCTGGAGCAGAACCTGAATCTCCACCTTCGTTGGGAAATATTTTTTTAAAGGAAAGAGAAATGCAAGCTCTCTCCTCTTGATCCTGCCCCTACGCCCCTTCCCGGCCGGCCTCCCCCTCCCCACGGACATGCCCTCGACGTTTCCAGAATCCGGTCCCCCTGCAGCTGGAGTTCTCAATTGGGCATTTACAGCCACGGTTTGCTAACTCGGAAGCCGAGCTAACAGGCGCGGTTTGTCTTCCAGCTGGCAGCCTCGCACTGCACAAGCCCACCCCCCAGCAGTGACAAATGGGTTTGTCCTCATTCCTGGAGGTGTTCCTGCCCCCCATCTGCCCCGCCTCACCGAAACACCCTGAAGTTTCATCCACGTGGCTTTTCAGCCTCCCCACATTTATTCGACAAACCAGTGACCCCCCCTCTCCGTGCCTGGAAGTATTATTTTCCCATTCTTCATTTCTGCAAACCTCGAGAATGAATCGGGAAACCCCATGCTGGCTGAACGCCTATAGATCAATTATTTTAGGGCTTATGATCAACTGCGTGTTGTATTTTTTTTAAGGGAGCCCAAGTTTCTAGTCCCTGTGGCTGAAAAGCACGGGCGAGGCCTGGCAAAATGTCAGAAGCTTCAGGGCTGGTTTCCAACTGCTGGGGGAGACATTCCAGATCCCAGCAGAATCAACAAGGACGCCGTCATCCAGGAACGGCTCACTGGGGGTCGAGAGACCCCGATTCGTGTCACAGATGCGCAACTCTCCCTATCCGGGTTTTCAGAAACGGATCAAACGGAGACCCCCGCACGTACTGCCTGGGACTCGGAAAAGAGCAGTCTGAAATCGGCGCCCCGTTGCGCATCGTGCATGCCTCCGTGCTAGTGGGAATGGCGCAGCGCTTCGCCCTTTCCGCCACGTACCTGAGTGTATTCCGCGCAACCGGAGAGGCAGCTCACGAAACTGCACACATCCTCCACGGTCCACTTGCTGACGTCTTGCAACGCCGCCGGGCTCTCTTCCCCGTCCAGAAAGAGACCTCCCATCGTGCCTGGAGGGAGCAAGAGGAGGGGGATTGCAGAGGGGGTGAGCGGAGGTGTGAAGGGAAGGAGGAAACATAAATCACCGAAGCCCCCCGCCCCCCTGCAGCCCAGCTGACGGCTTCTCCCTTCCTGTGCTTTTCTCCAGCCACGCATCCATCTTTAATGAACTGTCAATTAAAATACCAGGCAGGGTCAATTTGAAGGCCAGCTCCTCCAGGGGGTTTCCTAGCCTAGGGGTGGGGAAGGCAAGAGCAGGACGTTTGGGGAAGGGGGGGCGGCCAGAGGCGCTAATGATTTCAACATGTCTGAACGCTTTTCAGCTGCGGCGGCTGGGGAGGGAAGAGGGGCACGGATCCAGCCGAGGCTGCAGAAGCGGCAGGGGGGGTGCCCCCCCCCCCCCCGG